CTCTCTCTCTCTCTCTCTCTCTCTCTCTCTCTCTCTCTCTATCTCTTTCTTCTTTCTTTTTTCCTCTTTCTCTCTGTCTCTCTCTTCTCTTTCTTTTCTTTCTCTTACTCCCTTGCTCTCGCTCTCTCATTCTCTCTCTCCTGTCCAGAACTTCGAACTTTGATCGAGCTTCCGGTTCGTTAGGCGATAACTATGGCCCGTCGCCGCCGCGATCGAACGAAAACGAAAACGATCCCGGCCCTTTGAGAAACGCGACGTTCGAAAGCACTTCAAGCCAGAGGCTCTACTTTCTTTGACGGCGTAAATTCTTGAAATTAGAGTCCCCGGAAGGGACTGAGTCGCGCGGTTGAAAGGACGGTTCCGACGAGTAATGGGAACTGCTTCCGCGCGACCTCTTCGCCCCTTCTCCCCACTCGCGCTGGGTAGTAATTAATTTCTCGGGTGATTTTAATAGAATTCGTTTTGCGTGTTGCAGTACGCGATATTTCTGGCAGTTCTACTGCTGATAGAGATGACTGCCGGCGTTCTGGGATTCATCTTCAAAGACTGGGTAAATATCGCGTCGCATTCCGCGTATGTACTTTGTCTCGTCCACGAGAATTTTGTGTATCTCGTGAACCCATAGGCGATAATGTATGATAACAATTACAGGTAAAGCGCACGTATATTCCGATACCAGAAGAAGAAAAGAAAAGAAAAAAAGAAGTCATCAAAAAATGAATACTAGAAAGAGACCAACAGAGTCGTATTGCCTAGGTGGCCGCGCGCAAGTATCAGTGATAAATTCAAAGTTAATAATGTTTGCGAAATAACAACGAAAGTTGACTTAGTCGCCTCGAAAGGCTGACGAAGCTCGTCGAAATATTTTGGCTTGAAATTGTCCGTAGTAGGCAAGAATGATCCAACCCGTATGGAGCATGTGTCGAAGAAAACGAAGATAACTCTCTATATGATATATCTCATATTTCTCTATATGATTATAGTTACAAATACTAAACATGTTTTTCTCAACGTTGTAATTGAGGTCAATTTATCACTGATACTTACTTACACACAGACACTTGTTCGGGCGTTTCAGACGTTCATCTTTTCTGTAACGACCGAGTCGTGTATCCAACGGGCTGTACATATCTATTTAGCTAGCCCCCCAGCCCTTTGCCTCCACCTAATCTGAAACAAATAGCAAAATTATACAACTATACGCTACTTATGTACTCTCCGAAAATAACACGCAAAAATTTTACACTCCATTCATTACACCAGAAAAAAAATTTTGTCAGGGCCCAAGTAGACAAGTCAGCCTTTCCCCCTTACCAACAAATAATAAGTTATTTAACAAAATAAATATACGCTATTTATGTGCTCTTATATTCAGGTAATTTTGATTTTTCCGTTGCATTTCTTGAAAGATTTCTCTCCTAACACATACAAAATAGACTTGTTAGAATAGAATTTCTTTAAAATAGAAAATTCAATTACATACAAGGAATTTATGATTTGTACATTTTTAGATCTAGGTCATTCTGATTTTTACGCTGCAACCTTTAAAGAACTTCTCTCTTGACGTAGAAAACAAAATTTTCTTAGAATTTAAAAAAAATAGGAAATATCGCCAATTCAATTATGTACAGTGAATCTACGATTTATGTGCTCTTATATCAAAGTCATTTTGCTTTCAGCGCTGCAACTCTTAAGGGACTTCTTTCTTGATGCAAAAATAATTATCATAGACAATCCTATTTAAAATTAAAAATATCGCCAACTCAATTATGTACAATGAATCTACGTTTTATGCGCTCTTGGATCATTTTGATTTTTACGCTACGACCTTTAAAAGACCTTTTCTTTTGAGGCAAAAACATAATTATCATAGAATTTCTTTAAAGCGGATAATATTGTCAATTTAATTATATACAATAAATCTGCACGCTCTTATATCATTTTGAAAAAGATCTATGACAATTATATTTTTTTCTTCAAGAAAGAAGTCTCTTGAGCATTGCAGCGTAAAAATCAAAATGATCTAGATCTAAGAGTGCGTAAATTGTACATTTATTGTACGTAATTTAATTGACGATGTTTTCCATTTTAAAGAAATCCTAACTATTTTTGGCGTCAAGAGAGAAGTCCTTTAAAAGTTATAACAATCGAAAAATTACCTGAATATAAGAACGCATAAATAGCACATAACTCCTACATATTTGTTTTGTCAAATAAGTTGTTATTTGATGGTGAGACTGACTTGTTGTCCACTTGGTCAGCCCGCAAAAAATTTTTTTGTGATATAACAGAACGAGCGCAACATTTTTGCATGTTATTTTCGCATAAATAGCGCATAATTATATAATTTTACTGTTCATTTTAAATTAAGCGGAGGGGCTAGCTAGACAGTCGTGGCCTCTATCGCCCTTCCTTTCGTACTAATAACAAACCTAAAGTCCTGCAAGGGAACATTACAAAATATCTTACATCCATAATGTAATATCGCGTCGCACGCCGCGCGCGTTTAATTATCCGCGCGGACGAAATTTCGCAGGATACGTACAACTTCGCTGGAATGCAGCAGCCGGCGGAGTTGCCAGACGACGTTTCCGAGACAAGTGTTTCTCCTCGTGCTCCCTCGGGATGATATCGCGACGTTCGTTCGTGCGTTCGTTCGTTCGTTCGTTTGGTTCCTTCCTTCGTTAGTAATCGTTTCTAGTAACCGCGTTTATTAATCCAGTAGCTGCGAGAAACGCAACTAAATTATCAAAGTGAATAAGCCGAATGCATTATACAATATTCGCCGGTGCATATTTCACAATCTCATTTCCCCGAGAATACGTATTCGCGCGTGCGCGAGCGCGGGGAAGACGAACGGTACGTGCAGAAGCGCGGTCGTAGCTGGGCGGGCGCGCCAAGTTTGCGTATAATTATGCAGCGAGTTCCTGGGTCACTAATTAATTCCATTCACCGTATCCTTTAAACATGACGAGAATTTTCTCCCGCGGAAAATTTGGACGGCCAACAAATGCGCCATCACACTCCGGCCGACGCGCGCTTTAATGCGCGCCGCAGTTTTGCTTTACGAGCGGCGGAAAGTTGAATTCGCCCGTTTGCACCTGCAGCGCGCATCTAAGCGATAAGTTTAATTTTTGCACCTAACCTAACCTAAGCGATCGTCGCGCGGAACACAAGTAAAAGGTCCTCCTCCCTTCCCCCTCTGCCCTTTTCTTTACGTGGCAGAAATTATCGGTCGGTAATAGAAGTTGACGCGAATCGCGCGAAGCCGTCGACGCGGTCCCGCTAATCATGTCACCTTTCTGTTAATTTCGGCAACGAAAACAGTTCGGAATAAATTTCTTATTAAGCCAGAAATTGCAGAGTAGCATCTAAGTGCGGAATTAATAGACAAGCTCGTTTACGTAAATTAGCGTGATATCTCCTTTTGTAGATAAAGTCGCAAGCCACGGGGGGCTTCCAAGCGTTCATCATCCACTACAGAGAGGATCCCGATCAGCAGAACCTTATCGACTGGATTCAAGAAGATTGGGTAAGTCGATTAGAATTCCTCGTTAGATGAGTCAGAAAATTCATTCGTTTCTTTGTGCTTTATCGACGTGGGGGTGCACGAGGGAGAAAAGTCGGGCGAGTTTCTCGATGTAACGCAGCATACTTGGAATTAGTCGCGCTCTCGAAGCGATTCTCGAATGTCACGCTGTTATTTCTTACTTGTGTGTGCGAACGTGGAAAAAGAAATTCAAAGTCTGAGACGCAAAACAGAACGTCGGCCTCTTTAAGTAGTATATTAATAAAAAGTTTCATGGTTAAATTTCTTTTGATTTACTTGAACTATTCAATATCATCAAAATAGGTTCTACCTAGTTTATAGATTATCTAAGTAAGCTCAAACTATTTTTAAGAGCGTCAAAGTAGCGTCAAAATTTTGACAAGGTAAAGTTAAAGGTTCAAAAGAGAAGTTAATGAGTATCAATCATCAAAATAGGTTTTACCTAGGCTATAAATCGTCTAAGGAGGCACAAACTATCTTTAAGAGTGTGAAAATAGTATCAAAATTTCGACTCGGGAATTCTCAAATGAACTTTCATGATTATCATAACGTAAGACAAATAAACTCTACGATTTTTTTCATAATTTTTATGAAGCAAATATACTCTATTAAAATAATTATTAAATTTACATCATACAGTAATGTAAACTTTTTCGTTGTATCAATGCAGCAATAAATTTGTTAAGACTCGTATATTCATATTACACTTTTATGACACATTGTTTTGAGTAAATTATGAAAAATGTTTTATGCTTCTTTCGTATTTTTATATTTCATCATTTTATGTGATAGATATGAGTGTCATATGAGCCACCCACAAGAGATGCAACTTTTACAGGTCGAGTAATAAAGTTGCTGCCAAATTTATATACGTCTATCTGGTAATATAACATTTCTCAAGTAAAAAGATATACTCAAGTCGAAATTTTGATCCTATTTTTAGCTTTATTATTTCATTCAACATCTATTTTTTTGATATTTTGAAGCCTATAAACTATTTTGACGTTAATAAGAGTGAAAAGGGAAATTTTGGCTATCATCAGAATCAAAGTAGGAGTAAATTGTATCATTAGAATTACACTTACTTTGCTAACTTAATTCCTACTGCGTTGTAAAATTCAAAGTTTAACATAGGGCTAAAATTTCGGGTTAGCTTTATACGAAAGCAATTATTTATTCTATTATATGTAATTAATATACTCGCTGAATTAGTATTTCTTATTTTTCATTTTTATTTTTTTTTTCAAAAACAACTTATAGATAGACTTTCATGATTATCACAACGTGAGACAATCGATGATAGAAACTCTTTATAATTCTTTGAATTACATTTATAAAGTAAATATTAAAATAATGATTAAATTTACATTAGAAGGAACCGGAGCTATTTGGCTGTCGGGGCAAGATTATTTCTACTATTTTTTAACATATTTAAAAATCAAGCAAATAGAGATTTCAAAAATATTTTTGACGTGTTTAAACATTTTACTTACTTAATTCTGTAACTTATTAGAAAATAGCAGAAATAATCTGTTTTACCAACGTATTCCGGTCTGATGTAAATTGTTTTATTGTATTGATACAGCAACAAATGTCCTACAAAAGTTGCACTCAGATTTTCATACTGCATTTAACATGACATATCATTTCGAATAGATTTTGAATATTTTCTATTTTGTCATTTTGTGTGATAAATATGATCGCAATTTGATCAGTCTGAAAAGGCCCGACGTTACTGAATGTTCGTGGTTTAATGTACTTAGAGTTGCCGTAAAGTGCATCAGTCTATCGGGTAGGACACGGCTCGCCGACGTTTTTTCGCGCTGATTCGCGACATGGACGCGAACCCTGTGTCGAATCAGCGACGCAGGAAAGTCCGGTGATCGGCTTCCGAGCCGTCGTTCTACCGAACGGCCGCGCGCGATATGGCGCAGTGCTCAGACAATCGATATCTGGCCATCCAATTGTGGTTTATGAGATTTCAATAGCACCGCTACCGCGCGATACACTGCCGCAATTACGGTAATCCTATCGGTACTAGTAGCCAGTCGACGGTAAACCGCACGCGCGCTCTCTTGCCCGGAGTGCAGGCACGCGAGCTTTACTACACACTGCGCGCCAGATCCGTTCGCGAAATTTCGCGTTCGATCCACTTTGCGAGACGCGCGCGCCCTCGCGACAGTGATTTACGTTCGAACGGATATCCGGCGAGAATCAAGCACGAATTCATTTAACCGGGGCGCGGGATTAACAATCGGGGCTTTGGTCTGACTAAAAAGCGGACTTACCGCGCGCAAATTGCGAACGCAAGGGAGGGAAGGATGGGGTCGATAAAGTTGCACATCGGAGTAATAAGCTCGCAGCCGCGCGTTGCGTTTGTAGCACCGGCCATGTCGACCCTATTATATCGGTGATGTGTGCGCGACAACGCGGATGTGTCGGATCCATCCATCCCGTCGATCGATGGTAGCGCGCGCACGCATAAATTATTGCGCGCACGCACCAGCTACTACACGCGGAAACATTTGCGAATTGATTCGGTTAATGTCTGAACACGCGGCGGTCGGCCCCGGAGACCGCTGATGAATCCGTGGATATCGAATTACCACCAGCGATTCTACTATCGCTGAACCGCGTCGTGGTGTCGCATTGCACAGCATCCTTGTAGCATAGCGTGCCTGTCGTGTTCCGACTGTGATAAGATGGTTAGTATCGTGTTGCTCACATTTGAATGCGCCTCTGATCAAAAGGACATACATTAAGCCATACATTTTATTTCTCGGTGGAAATCAATTTGATCGACACGGAGGAATTATCCCGTCTTATCGCGAAAAATAAAATCGCTAATTGAAACGCCCGATTCGTTAACTCTTTGAGCCATAATGGGGACGTCTCACTTATCTTTTCCTCATTTTTAGTAAATTTTACTAATTTACCGACAGATATGGTCAACTATATTATACGCTTATAAACATAAGAAATTAATATAAATCAAATATAAGGGATTTTAAAGTCGCTGATTGCGAGTTTTAGATGAAAAGATTAAAATACAAAATGTGTAACAGGTTCGATACGGCGATCATACGTATTGAAAATGAGCAATCTCGCTTTTAACATTATCCAGAAATAACGACGATATTTTCTCGATATGAAAAAGAAATATTTGCGTTTTTGACAAGAAATTTGCAACAAACATCTATTTCAATAATTTATTGTAAAAAATAAAGGACTGATAGAGTCAGTCATTCAAAAATTATAAAAATTTGCTCAAAGCAATATTTTATGATAAATGTAATATAAAAATTTAATTGTAATTTTTAGTGAATATGCTGTTGCATCAATACAACGAAAAATTCACATTATTGTATAATATAAATTTAAAAATTAATTCAATTAGTATATTTGCTTCATAAATGTAATTAGAGAAATTATAAATTTTCCATCATCAATTGTCATGATAATCATAAAAGTCTATCTGAGTTAATATAAATATGTCATTAGTATCCACATCAAATAAATACCTTTTATTACTTAATTATTTTTTCTCTCAACGCATAAATTATTTATTATCATTATTTATAATTTTTCTTATCAGTAGAATATTTTTCTGTGCGAATTCTTTTCAGTATTTTTCTTAGTTGTGTGCCTTCTCGTAATTTTTATCAATTTATTTCTCTATACATGATATATTTCATAACAGAATCTGATGTAATATACATGTATTCGTCATTAATTAATTAATTCATTAACTTAATATAAACGTAAATTATTAAATTAATTAGGGGGAGCTGGGGCATAACTGAAGTACCACGAAATATAATGGTATATGGTTAATAACTTTTTGCAGAGATGTTGCCATGTAATGAAATGTTTTGCAATTATTACTATTAGATGTTTCTTATCGCGTATTGTTGTCACTTACTATGTTGTTTTTAGCTAAAAGATGCTACAAATTATTTAACGTTTACTGCGTTCTCCGCAACTGCGTTACAATTTTTTCCTATATTTGCATGAAGTAAACGATGATAAGAGAGATTCCTTTTTTTATTACCGTATATATATTAACGTTGCTATTAATAAATAATTATATGTATTAAACGTACAATAATATATTTTTATATGTTACACGTTTTAATGAATTATTTTTAAAAACTTTATCTCAATCAAAGATATAAACAAGTTTTGTGAAGCATTCCATTTTGCCCCGCGTAAGAAGTACAATAACATTAATTCACGCTTTCAATAAAACAATAATTTCGTCCTTTCAACTATGCTTTCACATCTTTAAAACTTGTATTTTTCTTATAGTGAATAATGTGTATATTCAAAGTATATTTTGACGCAAAACTAAGCTGATTTATTTGTTTTTAATTTACTTTTAAACTTAAATCTTAGAATAATCATTTAAATCTTAGAATACCCATTATGGCGCGAGTTCTCCGCATCCTCATCTAACGACGGCTTAAACTCCGGAGTGAAAGCTTGCTCAAGGATAATCACAGCTCAAGAATACGCTACAAATTCAAGTGTGTTATTTTTGAGCGCATAAGCGTGCAATTTTGCCAAAGTTCGTTTTACACTTCTCTACGGTTTTAAATCACGTCATTTAACGTCGTGGTTGATTCGCGTCGATTAAGAGACGTGCAAATTATAATTTAATATGTTGAAGCATACTCGATGACGTGGCTTAAAAATGGTGAAAGAGAAGGTACGAGGTGAGATTCTTGGACTTGCAGTGCAAACGCAGAGCAGACACTTGCCATCCTTGTCGGAAATGATTTCTGACTCGACTCAGCTCGCTTAAAGTGAGCTTAACAAAGGCACACTCGCGCGCAAACGCGACGTTCTAGCTATTTACCCTCGCATTTGGCCCAGCCTGTAGTACCATTCGACGGAACTATTCATCCAGTGCGCTTCTAACTGTTTCGAGCAGTGTGTATCATCTATTGTCCCGCCGGCATCGATCCGCCCGACGGCGTCGT